ACAGATCTTCAGCTGCCTGCAATCCAAACCATTTAGCATAATAACTAAGTCCATTTTCAGTGTGGTTTTACCTTACCTCCCCCATTTCCCCAGATCTGGGCATATTAAACGACTTGCTATTCCTCAAACCCTCAGTGCATTTTTTCTTATGTCTCTGAGCCTTTATTCAAACTGTGCCCTTTGCCTTGAATGCCCCGTCCCTTCTATCTCATTCAACTTCTTCCCAGTCATTTCCTCTTCATCCTTTAAGGTTAAGATGTATTCATTATCACTGTCTGTCGCCTATTTAACTCTTTGGGGTCAGGGATTTTATCTTAATCATCTCTGCTCCCCCAACATGCTTACCATAGGGTCTGGCACATCGTTTGCACTCAATAAATAAATATTTGCCAAATGGATAAATAGATGAGTGAACGGGTGGAAAAACAAAAGGACTAGCTAGTTGGCTGGCTGAAAGGATGAACAGATAAATAGATGGATGGATAAATGCTGTGACATTTGCCTCCTGAAGAACCATGCTGTGAATAGTGTTTCATTGTTGGAATCACTCTCTTGCATCTGGACATGTGTGGACATGTGATCCAGAAGTACCAATGCAGGGCTGCTCTCGAGCACGGAGAATGATGAAAGAGCTGGCTTCAAGACGGTCTTCAACACTGGACACCACAAGGGTGTCATCAGATCATGGCCATGGGCTCCCTGAGCCATCCTCCCAACTAGAGAATCCTGGAGGCTATTAAAACCTGCAGGTCTGTTAACAGTTTTGAGTCTCAGATGTAAAGTTCAGTCTTCTAGTAGGAAACAGACTTCTCAAATGTGCTAAAGTAACCTCTGAAGAAAACGCTGAACACTTGAGATTCTCACATGTTCCAGGTTTCCTCTTCTGGGGTTTGGCTGCTACATGAAATTCCTGAAAGGCCTACCATCTTCCAGGGTCCAGGAGAGGAAGGAATAAAAGCAGGGGCTAATGCCATTTATTAAAAGCAGAGAACTCAAGAGTTGCAAAATGAAAAAAAAAAATGTTTGGGGAGGAGTAGGAGGGAAAGTAAGAAGGAGGAAAGGGTTAGGAGAGAAGATGGCAGGTCAGGGCAATTCTTTCTTTCTCATTACATCTTGGAAACTGGAAGTATATCCTTGGGAAGTACTGAGAAAAGTGAGAGAGGGCTGTGCACTTATTCTAATTATGGGCTGTGAAAAAGCCACAGTTAATTCACTAGGGGGAAGGTCTTTTTCTGGACAGTTATATTTCTAAGTATTTCCTTTACATTAAAAGTAGGCAAGAGGTTTAGATTCTTGAAGCAGGGGCGCCTGGGTGGCTCAGTCGTTAGGCATCTGCCTTCGGCTCAGGTCATGATCCCAGGGTCCTGGGATCGAGCCCCGCATCGGGCTCCCTGCTCTGCGGGAAGCCTGCTTCTCCCTCTCCCACTCCCCCTGCTTGTGTTCCCTCTCTCGCTGTCTCTCTCTCTGTCAAATAAATAAATAAAATCTTAAATAGATTCTTGAAGCAATTAGCAATGTGTAGCTTTTCAAAAGCAGCCAGAAATGAACGAGGTACAAAGAAAGGCCCATCCTTGTTGTGAATGGGAGGTTAATAGCCTGAAGGTAGTCTTTAAAGGACCCACCCAGAGAACCCAACCACCCTTGGAAAACACCAAGAAACACCAAGAGCTGCTAAGAAAAGAAGCAATGAACATGTAGATAAGCCTAGAAGGAGAAAGGAAAAGGCTATGTGTTTTAAATATCTCTGAGTTAAGGAGATCCCATCACCAAAGAGTAGATGGAACACTACAGAGAAAGCCTTGAGGCCTCAACACTAAGCAAGCATCAGCTACAGAGTGCCAGCTTCTTTAAGATCCAAGGTGATAACCCTTCTGCCCTCCACTCCCTCAATAATCTATACATCCAGTCTACTTTGAGAAACGTAATATATCTTACACAGGTGCAACCTGAGGCAGCTAAAATGATCAGGCAAGTCAAAACACTCACCTCTAGACAGCCTATACTTCTGAGAGCAGTGGAGATGTAATCCAAAAAAAAGACTGATAGGCTTTTTCTGTGACCTTAGACCCAGAATCACAAAATGATTGTGCCAGAAAGGTCCTTGGTCAATCTCATTATCCCAGTTTTATGATGGGAAAACTGAGCCTCAGAGGGGAGAAGGGACTTGCTCAAGGCCACATTCCTCATTGCCATTTTAGAATATATTATACCATTTTGAGTTGAGCGATGGGAAGAATAAAACAAAATTGTATGAATTCTCCTTCAGTGTGATCAGAATGTCTATGCTAAACCCAAATCTTATGAAAAGGGAAGTCTATTGCTCAAGTATTTGGAAGGACCACTCTACATTTATGTTTTCTTTCTTTTTCCCATTTTTTGAGTAGAGGTGTAGTGTACACTGAATTTGCAAGTTAACCACACACTTGAGAAGGGTTTGCAGCAGAGAATCAGGGAATGTGAAGGTAAGTTTATGAAGATGGAAAGGTTTGTTTTTCAAACAATGGTGTTTTAATGGGTAAACACTTGGGATGTTACTGACGTGGTACTTGAACATAATATAGGACTCCCTTAACGACGAATCGGCTTCCAAACAGGATTTTGATGGTACTTTTCGTTTGAGGGGATCAAGCGTGATTTCTGCTGATATTCTCTCTGCCTGTTGGAATTGTTACATATTATAGGGCATGCCAAGTGACTCAGGGTAAAAGCCAACTGGGAAGTGCTCACCATCTAAATTACTAGTGACCTCACTGTCATAGTAAGCCCTCACATTGGTCTAAGCACATTGTCAATTACCAAGGATGTTCACGTTCATCACGTTCACATCACAGAGTGATACCACTAGATTACAGATGAAGAAATTGAGGCTTAGAGGGGCACAGTAAATAACGGAGCTGGGCCTTTAGCTTAGGTCTGCCTGACTCCAAAGGCAAGACCACATACACAATATCAAGAATCCTTGTATCTTGTAGACCTTTCTTCAAGTTTGCCAGCCTGAGCTCCATTGCCTAGTATGGTGCCTTTGTATACAGTTGACACTCAATAACTATCACAGGAAAAGATCTGCAACGAAAGCCATTCACAGCACTTCTTACCTTCTTTTCCTTGTGTTGGGACCAAGCCCATTTCAAATGTGAGCACTCTATCCAATAAATCAATTTGAAAACTTAGTGTACTGCTCTCTCCATGAAATTAATTCACAGATTTATGCCTCACTGATATAGGGAGTAGTGAAATTACTCCTTTTCAAAAGAGGTTCACTATAATCATGTCACGGACTGTTTTATAATGGAAGATGTTGGCTGAAACATGAAACTAATTTTAAGATCTGGACCCAAACTTTAGGAGAACTTTTGTTACCATTAAATTTCACCTGTGTCAAAGCAAGCTTACAATTCATAGCAGCAGATGAAAAACCAAGGGGTTCTCTACCTGGGAGCCTCCATCTCTTACACACCATTCACAGAGGGCTAAAAAATTGAGAGCTGAGTGTATCAGAACTCTCACCATAGGGCTGCAACATTCATATGAAGAAAATTTCCTTTTATCACTCCCTTTGTCACCTTTCCTGGCTTTCCTTCCACACTTCTCCACCCCAGTCCTGCTTCTTCCTCCCCACTGTAGACCACAATTGTAGGATTTCTCTGGAGTATACCAAGCAAATAAGAACAAGGTTGGTCTTTCTCCGGTATTTGAGTCTCATTTAATGCGGCTACCTGGAAAACTCAGAGCATCTGCCTGCGATGTCTGGGAGTACTAGACACTACTTGAGATGGTTCTGTTGCAACTGTCTCAAATTGACCCTGAGTCAATTCATTTGTAGTACTTTGGTCTGTTTAAAGACTATTGTTGCCCTGTAAGCGGAGGGGGGGCGGGGATACAGTTACCAACGTGAAGACCCACACAGAGAAAACAAGTTGGTCTCTATAACCGTGTACATAGGCAGACAAGGTATTGAGCACCTTGCAGAGAGCCAGAGATGGACAAGGGCTCTAAATGAGCCTTGAGAGGGGGAGGGAAAATGGCAGGATTCTAAGAACTTGGGTTTTCCAGGCTGATAATGAATAATCAGGTAGGAGGCTATAGTATCAGGCGTTCGGAAAAGAGCTTGCTTTTCTTCAAGTTCCATTTCCAAATCCAAGTAGACTAATGAGCTTGCTTTTTTTCATGAAAGGTGCTTCTTTCTCGAAGCAGCAGGCAGCGGGGAGTACCCCTTGCCACTGAGCAGTTGTAAACATGAAGAAATGAGGAATTTGGAGGGGAAAAATAGAAGTGTAAGCCAAGCCTTTCTGGAATGGTGACAGCGCTCACAGTAGACACAGACTAGGGGACAGAGAGCCTTATGAGCGGCTGCACTTGAAAAAACTCTATCTTCCTTCTGTCAAGCTACTGTGCTACGAGAAAATGCTTTTGGAAGTTATCAATAGATTTGCAAATAATGGGAAATGATTAAAAGGCCTGCTCAACCCTGGGAGATACGGGATAGGAAACTGGTTCTGCTTGGCAACCTTAGTCACAGGCTCCAAAGAGAAGCGGCTTTTCATTCCAGGTGGCCAGCCCTACAATATAGGGGTAGTTAACTGAGGATATTCCTGGGTGTTCAGGGCCAGCCTGTGCCTGGGTCATTCTGCACCTGTGATTATTCTGGATTCTGCAGTTCTCTCATCCTGCTCATCATGCAACAACATAGGGCCAGTATCGCTGTGTCCCCTGGGGAATCCTTCATAATCACCTCCACGCTCACTGACCCCCGGTGGGTCCTGATCCCTGCTTCACACCTCCTGTTCCTATGCTGAGCGCCAGACTGGGGTGTGACATGGTTAAGAATAAAGAAAGGCACCAGCTGGCTGATGGCCATGTTGTGGATGAAGGAGTCAGTTTGTATCTAGAGTAGAGCTGGCCACCTCAGAAGCACCCAAGAGGAAAATCTGGTTTAAAGAGAGAATGAGAGAATGAGGGAGGGAGAGGAAGAAAAAGAAAAAGGAAGAGAAGTATCATACCTCCCAGAGTCATCCCTGCTTCATAGCATTTCCGGAGGCGACAAGATGGACAATTTTTCCTTCGGAATTTATCGATGGTGCAATCATTTCTGCTGGCACACAGGTACTTCTGTTTCCCTGGGAGAACAAACAGAACAGTAGATGCCCCATTAATGCATTTCCAGAGTCTCTCTCCTTTAGTATTTCTAGGCAGAAAGGGCATAAGGATGTATCTTGCTGGATGAGAGAAGTGGACAGAGAATGGCCCTAAACAATTTGATCACACAGAATCACACAGCCTGGTTTAATTCGATGCTGTATTGTTGGTTTTCATAGGTGTTTTTGTAGGGATGAACAACTGAGGTCCTGCTGATACTTCCTTTATGACAAGGACTACTCACTGGTTTATAAAAATAAAGATGTTCTACCTTTACTAAAAGCTAAGAATGGGACACCTGGGAGGCTCAGTCAGTTAAGTGTCTGCCTTCGGCTCGGGTCATGTTCCCAGAGTCCTGGGATCGAGCCCTGCATCGGGCTCCCTGCTCAGCGGGGAGGGAGCCCGCTTCTCCGTCTGCCTGCCTCTCCCCCTGCTTGTGCTCTCTCCCTCCCTCTCTCCCTCTCTCTGTGACAAAAAAAAAAAAAAAAATCTTAAAAAAAAAAAAGCTAAGAACGTCCATGGGAAAGTGATCAATGGCAGAAATTACCACTCCTTTAGCATGACACGGCAGAGACTTGGACTTAGGCAATGCTTCTACATCCTGACCCCTGTAGTCATTCAAAGGATCATACTCAAGCTAATACAGTGCTTTATTTCATAATAATAATACAGGTAAAACTTCTATAAAAGGGAACTCCATGAGATTTCTAATTGTCTTTAAATTGATAGTGATCATATCCCCAATCCTGCAGGTTATAAAAATCAGAGATAAAGCTCACTCTTTGTGAAGTGAATCACAACAGGTGAGAGGAAGTCCTTTGAAGCCAGCAGAAGAAAAACACTTGCTGTCCTGCTCATTGGGAGTTGTCACAGATACACAGAAACATGCTCACACACATGCACAGACCCAGAGAGCCTCAGGATCACAGCTGTTCAAAGAAAGACATGGAGGGCCACTCAACAGCACATATTTTACTCAATATTTTGCCTCCTCACTCCTAACATAGGCCTGGCATACAGTAGGCCCTCAATAAACATTGAATGAATACACAAGTGGAACAGGGAGATCCACAGGCACACAGAGTCACCAGCAGAAATAGACAGAGATACATACCCTGCTGCTCTGAAACATGCAGAACTTCTCATGCTTGGAGCCCTGTGACAGCCTGAGCTCGTGCATCCCCTCACTCCACCCCTTTCTTTATCCAAGTCCCTCTTATTTACTGCTGCGCTTTAGTTTATGGGAGAGACTGGGATTTTAGGGAGGCTTCTTTTGGCAGAGGAGGCATGTTTGTGGTAGGGAAAAGGAAGAAAAATTGAAAAGCAATTGCTATTTGATAGCAGGGAGAAAAACACATAAATTCAGCTATAGCTTGTCTCTTCTCTCCCTGTTCAACCTAAAATGTATAGATCAGGCACAGAAAACACATGTATTATAGTAGGTTTTTTTTATGTAGGAGATTCAGTAGTAGCCAGGTCAGCAAGACCTTTGTTTTTCTTCTTTCCTCCTTCCCTCTCTTCCTCCCTCCCGCCCCTCCCTCCCTTCCTCCTTCCCCACCCCTTTCCTCTCTTATTACCTTCCATTTGTCAAAAGATTCCAAAATGCTGGGCTCGAAGGGACTGTTAAAAACCACCCCAGTACAATCCTTTCATTCCAAGGATGAGTTCTGGGAAGGTGACTTGCCTGAAGAACACTCAATTGGAGGCCCACGAAGGAAGAATCTTACTCTTTAATAGGTACCTACTACGAACCAAGCCTGTGTTGGCAAGTTTACATATGCCATTTAAATGAATAACCTCAGCCGCGTTTTGAGGTAGATACTACCATTACTTTTACTTAACAGATGAGAAAACTAAGGCCTCTAAGCCAGTACTCTTTCTACCATACCACAGGATTTTATTTGTATAAACAGAACACATAATTTACTAACAGCCATTTTTTTTTTTTTTAAATAGGCTCCACGCCCAGCATAGAGCCCGATGTGGGGCTCAAACTCATGACGCTGAGATCAAGAGTTGGACACTTAACCCAACTGAGCCACCCAGGCGCCCCACTACCAGCCTTGTCCTGCTGCAAACTGAGGATTGTTATATGCACGGAAAGGACGGCGTTATGAGTGCCATTCAGTCTTTGAGTATCAACTCCTAGAAGGGAGGCCCTGTATCCAATTCCAGTGGGTTCACGTCCAGTGCCATGGGTGTTCTGGAACAGGGACATCCCCGCAGTTTTTGTGCTGCTGCAACCCTCAGAACGAGTTTTCACGTTAATTAGTAAAATAGGGTCATTATGAATACTTCTTTGAAGAATCTCTTCTTCCACAGGAAAATACTAGCTCCTGAACCCAAGTTTGCAAAGGAATGGTTGCAGAGCCACTGGATTAGGGCTCCCAGAGGAGTTCTAGATTCCACTGCTAAAAGTAAACCATCCTCTGAATGAGGAAGGTTACAGTGGAAATGAAAACATGTTTTTCAATTTGGACCATCTCTCTAGCTATAGTTCATACTTGGTCCCAGAGTGTCTCTTGGCCTAAAACAACATGGCCTAAAACACAGATAACCTTTACAATTAACCCAGGAATAAGTGCAAAGCCCACTGCAACCAATACCATTGTGCATTTATTTAACTTACTGAGCATTTATTATGGGCAGGATTTTGTACTAGCTGTTGAGGATACAGAGGAAAATCTCTGCTGAAGAAAAATATTTAAGTCCCAGATAACAGAGAGAGCACTAGGCTGGAAGTCACAAGACTTGAATCCTTATTCAGTCTTATTACTAACTCACTATATGACCTTGGACAAGTCCTTTATCCTCTCTGGGCTCCATTGATAATATGTAATGCTTGAACTGGAAAAATCACTAAAATCTTTTCCAGCTCAAAGAATCTTTATTTTATTACTTTATTTTAATTCCAGTGTAGTTAACATACAGTGCTATATTAGTTTCAGCTGTACAATACAATTCAACAATTCCATATCCAGCTCAAAGAGTCTTAAAGGATATCTGGATTTTATCCATAATATATTTGTGGAGTCTCTCATATAAAGGTCACAAGTATTATCAATAAGCAAGACATTACCAAAATAATGGTCTCTTGTCCCTCAACTCTCTCCTTTTAGGATAGCAACTTACTGTAACATTGCCTCTTATATCTGCAGTTATTCAGTCTTTTCTCTTTGTTTTCTAAAGTCCTTCAAAAAACCAAGGCACTTAACAGTATTGGAGAGGCAGTGTTATTGCAAGCCATATGCAACATATGTATAAATAACATGCTTATTCACATATGTGTACTCATGTATGTGTGAATGCACCTGTGTGTGGGTGTACACCCACAATAGGGTTCCTGAATTATCTTTGTATATACATGTATGTGTGAGCACATAAAGTATATAACATATTAAGTCATATAAATGCATACATATGACATGTATGTTTCTTTGAAGCAGAATAGTGACGTTAAAGTTTTAAATGACACTTAATAGTGACAGAAGTGGTCGGGGGTCCCAAAGATGGATATGGAAGGAATCTCCTAAAAATGGAACGGTGACTCATCTGCACAGTTTGGATTAGGAACAAAAACAGGGGATGGACTACCCTCTCAAGGTTGTTTCCAATCCACTTCTCCCTCCTGAATTACCAACTTCCCCAAATGATGGCAGAGCCAATGTACAATCACTGGGTTGCTATTACTTCTCTATTTATTCTACTTCTCCAGTATGGTTGAAGTTATCAGCATTCTTAATTATAACAATGGATTAAAATATAATACATAGGGGCGCCTGGGTGGCTCAGTTGGTTAAGCGACTGCCTTCAGCTCAGGTCATGATCCTGGAGTCCTGGGATCGAGTCCCGCATTGGGCTCCCTGCTCAGCAGGGAGTCTGCTTCTCCCTCTGACCCTCTTCCCTCTCATGCTCTCTCTCTCTCATTCTCTTTCTCAAATAAATAAATAAAATCTTAAAAAAATAAAAACATAAAATATAATACATAATAATATATATTATACATACTTATCTTTATATAATAACTATAAAACATATAATATATAGTAATAAATGAAAACATAATATAAAATACAATAACATAAGATTAAAAATGTCTCCCATTTGATTAGCTTACAAAAGTTAATATCAATCTTGTACAGAGTAGTATAATAGGGATTATTGTATACCCCATTATATAACTGAAGAAAATGATGCTCACTAAGATGAAAACTGACCTGCCCGTCATCACACTGTCAGTGTGCTACAAATCACAGTCCATAAGGCTATGAATCTCACAGATTGGAAAGAATTTTAAACAGTATTTGGTCACAATACACCCACTCCTCTGTACAAGGCTTGAATCCCCTCTGTAACATCCCTGTAAAGGGTTGCCACACCTTTTGTGAATTGCAGCCCATTCCATTTCTGGACTCTGTTATAAGGCTATTCCTTCCAGGAAACTCAGTATTTGTCTCCTTGGAGCTCTGACCCATTGGGTCTAATTAGAACTACATCATCTTTGGACTGTAAGCGACATTAAAAGCCTTATAACAAAATGCCCCAATGTGATGCCTGACTCTTCATTTATGAAAATGGACACGAAGTATTGAAATGACATGTCCCAAGCCATAGGAAGTTGGTGATAGAGCTAGAGAAAAATCTGGCACCTGCATCCAATGGAGATGTAGTGTGGGTGAGTGTAGCCTCAAGACAGAGAACTCTGTGGGTGTTGAGGATCTTTGTTCATTGTCTAGCAAGTATATGGCCCTGTGAATGCCTTCTCAGTGTTCAGCTGGAAGAAGTATAAGTGTATAAGGTACGTATATAAGTGTAAGTATAAGATCTGGGCCTGCCTGCTCCAAGGTAGTCTTAGAAAGTCCTCTGTTACCATGCAGTAGCCTAGGTGACTGAATAATTAACACAGACAACACAAACTCCTCTCCATCTCTCCCTCCTCAGATTCTGCAAATATTATACCTAGCTCTTTGACACTGCTGAC